TTTTTAACTTTCCCTGGAAAAAAAAGAGGACTGAGAAAAGCCTACAGGATTTTGCCCCAAGCCAAATTCTTACGGTAAATTTTGTAGGGTTGTAAGTGCGGCAATCTGAAAACCATGATCTAAGCCACGGTTTTCTTCTAATAGAATTCCTGTGGTTGATATTGTTTTATGGCAGATAAAGTGCCTGGGTGTGAATGCCATTGCTCGCCCACAGCATGTGTTTGTTTCACTAATTCCAGACATTCGTAGGGAGAGGTAGTCTCTCATTATCGGAAAGTCATTCCCATGGGATACAATGTACTCAGCCTCCAGTTATATGATGCTTGTCAGGGTCAACCACTACTATCTAGTTACTATAGAGATCCTTCTGATTTATTAAAGGCAAAGTCCACCTTTTATAAAAAAACAATAATAAATGCTGACTTCATGAATGAAAAAAATGTGCATATATTATTTTTTTGCATAGGAGCCAGTAAAGCATTGCAATCACAATCAGTGGATCACGGGTGCAATGCTCTTCCTCCCGTCCATATCTATACTTACATACAGTAACATGGACAGAAGGAAGAATTAATGGACTATAAGTGCGCTGATGTCACCACACTTGTATTCTCCATTCACAGATCTGGTCAAAGGATCTGTGAATGGATGACGTGGCCAGAGCCACTCACAGTCATATCTGTAAAAAAAATGAAGGCAACTGGACTTGCAGTATTTTTCTTGACAAAGCTGGTCATCTGACCAGCTTTCTCAATTCAGAATGACTTGTACAAAAATTATCTGGGACAAAATATGGTGAATGTTGCTCCAATCAACATAATCTGTAAATCGTAACTAGCATAGGGTCAGAGACCTCATAGAGATAAAGTGCTAATTGCATTTGCATGATTGGAGCTAGCAGGTGTTATTAACCCGACCAGAGAGAGGTGTTAAAACAGCATTGACTTAAGCTGGCCATACACCTTTCACCGTCGCACGACTTTCGTTGTGCGATGGTTGTAAGGTAATTAAAATCTTGTACGATCTGCCCAGGACAGTCAGATCGTACTTGTGATCATCGCAAGCCCTCCCCGCTGAGTCGAGGGCTTCCGATGATTCCAATGCTGAGCGGGCAGTGTGGGCTTGCGCACACCGGCCCGTTCGGCACGTTTTTCGACAGGTTTTCAAGCGTCCTCGGAAAAGACAAAAGACGTGCGACCGTACAGTAGAAACGCTCGCACGCCTTCCATACACCTGCCGATTATCGTACGATTGTGGGATCACCCGGCAGGTGTATGGGCACCTTTACAGTCATGCCAAATTTATAAATCAACACCAGCCTGTGGGGAGGAGATTGCAATGTGACCACCTAAAAAAAACAAAAACACCAGACTGAGCGTCTGAACTATAAGCATTGTGCAATTAAAGTTATCTGCCGCTGATAAGACAGAACTCGCAGCTTTCTTTGTGGCTTTGTTCAGTCTATACATTTGTGTTTGTGCATTGCAAAATAGTCCATTTGATAAGAAACATCAACTGTTTCCCTGCCAAACGTTCATGGCAAATCTCCAGAAAACATATAATACAGTTTGGCTTCACCTGTCAACAATACATGAAAGTAAACTACAGTTAACATTGATAGGTCTGGAGATACATCCATAGTGCCTGCCTGCTCGGTACTTCTGAGCATTTCTCATCCATATCTTGCTGTAGTGCCCAATCCAGCCCACACTTATTGATCAGTATGGTTGGATCCCTGCATGTCCGATATATGCCATGAACTATGGCTGCCGGGGGTAACACTGACATCCACGCATCATGTCAGTAAAGCTGGTCATATATTTAACAGATAAAAAGGATGCAGCACTCCAAATATTATAATGCGGAATCTTAATTCACATCAAAAAGCCGTATCCAGGAAACATCAAGGCAAACTTCTATGACACGTTTCATGCAACTTAAACTATATAGAGACATGGCTGGCCATACATAAATAGAATTCTACCCTAAACAGTGCAGATGGATGGATTTTCCCTGCTCGGCTATTGTATTATGAAAGCATACCCAAATGGTGACTGCATCTGATTTGTTGCAGGCACAGTTTGGGCAATAATTTCCATCTGGATCCTTCAACAAAAGTTGATTGAGCAACCAACTTTTGTTGAGCCAGCAGAGCCACCCACTGCAAGAATTTCAGCTGAATCCTGTAAATCGGCCAAAATTCTAACAGTGTATGGCCAACTTAACACATCCTGTGTATAATATAAAGTTCCAGAATTCCGCCCTGCCTATGCAATCCAGCTGGGTCCTCATTGCTGCTGTCCCTGCACAGTTTATTTGCTGGTGCAAGAGTCAGCTATGGACTTAAAGAGACCCTGTCACAAGACGTCACTCTTTTATTGAAAACATTTGCAGCTGTAGGAAATAAAAAAACTGTAAAAATAAGATTTTGTAGATTGAATTGTTTGTTTGTTGCTCTTTAGATAGACTGACAGTGGGAGCACACAGGGGAGCTCTGCATTAATAGGGATCTGATAATCCTGGGTGTCTTTTGGCTTTGTCAGGGGTACCATCAAATGTTCCCGGGAAGGACAGGTGCTGCATGTGATTAGTAAGCAGCCCCTGTCCTTCTTTATGGGACTACACGGCCATACGCCACCCTACGCTCACCTCAAGTGTAGGTCCGTACGGGTGCGGGTGTCCCAGCTAGGACGCAGAGGGGATCCATCCTGTCAGCGTACGAGTACGGGCACCCGCACGGACGTACAGGTCGGGTGAGCGTAGGGCGGCGTACGGCAGCGTATTCCTATAGAGAAGGACAGGGGCTGCGTACTAATCACACGCAGCACCTGTCCTTCCCGGGAGCTGCCCGATACAGCCGTGCATGCAGCACAGAGCTGTACGTGCCGGCCTTTTCTAGTGTGAATGAGGCCTTACTATATTTCTATTCACACACTATTTGAAGGACTGGAGACTGGGGTTAAGAGGAGCAATATATAAACATTTTGGATAGAATATGTAAGGTATTTTTTTTTACTGTGGCCAGCTGAGGTTTCCCTTCACTTCCCACCTTGGAGAAGCAACAGGAAGTGAGAGAAAATCTCCCCAAAGTGAGGAGGATTCCCTTCAGACAGGTGTCATCAGAATGGGTGTCCCCATTGGAAGATTAATCCTCAGCTCTTGCTCTCATGACAAATCTATAATTTAGGATTTCCCCTTACTTCCTGTTTTAGTGACAAAGAGGCAAATCTCCCCAGCAGTAACACATTCCGCAATAAAAACCTGCCAGAGGGACTAACCTTCCTCACTTTAACCAAAACTAAAAATAAAAGGTTTTGCCCTTAGGCTAGATTCACACCTAGGCGATTTAGATGCTGAGCTGTTTTCGCGGTTGTCACGCGTTTTCAATCGCGTGACTGTTCATTGTAAACCGCGCGGTTATCGCGCATTTTTCAATGCATAGAGATGTCTGAGAGACCCAAACCGCGCAACAACCGCCCAAAAATAGCTCCTGCACCTTTTTGCGCAACAGGCGGTTTTGGTCGCGCGGCAAACCGCAAAGGTGTGAGCAGCCTCTATTGATATAATCCCCTCTTATTAACCCACACACATGAAATAATATACCCCCCTTATTAACCCCCCCACACACATAAAATAATATACTCCCCCCTTATTAACACCCCCACACACACAAAATAATAATACACTTGGAAACTTGATAACAGTAAGTGCTGGCAAAGCTAGCTGTCACTCACGCAGCTGGGTGGATCTCGACAGTAATGTCGGGATCCGTCGCGGCTGCGGCGGTCTCAGTATACCGGGAGCTGTAGCTCGCGATATACTGAGCTTTGGGTGACGGGAGGACGCTAGTATATGTCTTCCCGTTACCCTTAGGAGAACTATGGGGAAAAACACTTACCCCATAGTTCTCCTTTACAGGGATATTAAAGTGTTTTCAAGCTGCTGATGAAATCACGTACAATGGATGCTGCTCCTTGATGTTTAAAAGTTGTTGTTTCCTGCAGAATCAGCTGGTCCCCTGAGCACGGGCCCTGATAACCTGTTTAAGGGTGGCTCCTATGGAGCTGCCCTTGTGTGTGCTAGTAAGCTCTGTGTGTGTCTCCACAAACACACAGACACGGAAAGGCAAGACATTTCCCTGCTTTCTGCTCCTCTGCCCTTTGCTTCCCCTTTCTCCAAGCTAGTAGATGGACATCTGCTGGAGTCTGCTCTGTTCCTCGTGATCTTGTACTGGACAGAAAGTTTAGAGAAGCCGAGCAGAGAAAGTTGGAGCTGTTCAGAAACATGATGACTGTAAGGGCTTGGGCAAAAATGTAAAGAAATACTTTGCTGGGCCATGGATATTTGTGTGATCTGGGTTCATTATTGAAAAAACGTTAGAGTGTTGAATATTACTCTAATGTTCTGAATCACTCAGGTCTAGTGAATTTTGGAAATGTCATCACTAGGGTTCTGTAGATGGGGGCCAGTGTCATTCAGGATAACCAGAATATCAAGTAAATGTCACCAGCACACCAAAAGTAATTCAGCAAAAGTCAATTTATTGACACATTGCCATTCAGTACAAGCGCTTTCGGGGCCTCAAGGGTACCCCTTCATCAGGGATAACCACACACCCTGGGACTTGATAGCAGACTTTTATTCATACATATTCCAAAACAGGAAATCAATAAAACACTAAACTCACGAGTTAAACCTTAAAAATACATTCAAGTCCCTTAACTATTAACAAAAATGAATCTTATTTGTGTATCGCTCGGCTGTAGATCCTCAAATCATCTCTGAATTGGTGCTGACACTGTCCTTCCTTCTGGAGGGTGGCTACTTTTGTTCCCCATGGTCCCTGTGTGTGTTGTAAAGTAGTCACCGCTCCAAGCTCACTCCTGCGATGGACTACAATCTCAAAATGAGTAAACTAAAGGTGATATTGTAGTCCATTACAGGAGCGAGCTTGGAGCAGTGGCTACTTTACAACACACACAGGGTCCATGGGGAACAAACGTAGCGTAGCGTATGGTTATTATCCAGCGAATGGCGCAGCGTATGGTTATTATTCAGCGAATGGCGCAGCGTATGGTTATTATCCAGCGAATGGCGCAGTGTATAGTTATTATCCAGCAAATGGTGCAGCGCATGGTTATTATCCAGCGAATGGCGCAGCGTATGGTTATTATCCAGCGAATGGCGCAGTGTATAGTTATTATCCAGCGAATGGCGCAGTGTATAGTTATTATCCAGCGAATGGAGCAGTGTATAGTTATTATCCCACCAATAGTGCAGCGTATGGTTATTATCCAGCAAATGGCGCAGTGTATAGTTATTATCCCACCAATAGCGCCGTGTATAGTTATTATCCAGCGAATGGCGTAGTGTATAGTTATTATCCAGCCAATAGTGCAGCGTATGGTTATTATCCAGCAAATGGCGCAGTGTATAGTTATTATCCCACCAATAGCGCAGTGTATAGTTATTATCCAGCGAATGGCGCAGCGTATGGTTATTATCCAGCGAATGGCGCAGCGTACGGTTATTATCCGGGAAAGTTTCCTCACACTGCTGGCTTGTAGCCAGTTTTGGATGAAGCAAAGTATGAATTTCCTTTTCCTTGGAATGTTCTTTTTCATTCCAAGGCCGTTTGTGGCTTTCTTTAAATGTGTAAAACAAATATGACTTGTGAAGTAAAATAAGCACGCTTCACTAAAGCAAACTCACGTCCATGATATTTGTTTTTTTCTACTTTGCGGACGCCGTGAACCACTTCTAACAGACCCAATGCTGTGCGCTGAAAAGAAGAAATTAAAGGGCAATTCCATCTTGTGAAATAAAAATGAATAATAAATAAACGCACACTTCCTGATAAGAATACAAATATGAGTTTCTTAGTTTGTTTTGTGCATCAGAGCCAGTAAAGGATCACAACCACGATCAGTGGATCACAGGTGCAACGCTCTGGTTCCTGCAGACCCTTCCTCCCATCCGAGGTATGGACATTCAGTCATATGGATGTAAGCAATGGTCAATGGACCACACAGAGACGTCACCAGGCCAGGTGTCACCTGGTACGTCCGACAGGCGACACCTGTGCACATGTCATTACGTATGCACATGACTACATCATGGACATGCATAATGACATTACGCACACTTCACTGCTGGTGGCCATCATGGTGATGGCATACCTTATTCCGCCGGTCCCCTCCTCTCTCGTATGTATTCCAGAATCCTGCTGCACTCTTTACCGGGTATTCCTGTCAGCGTGGGTGCTCCAAGTGACTGCGGATGGCGCCGCCAATACTGAAACTTGTGAAGTTTCTTTTTAGCTGTATTGTCATTTTAAGACTGATGAAGGGGGCCCTGTGTGGCCCCGAAACGTTGCTATTTGTTTTGACATGAACCGTCAACAAACAGGCAGTGTTCTTCACTTCAATATGGTGTGCTGGTGACACCCTCCTCTCTCGTGACGCTGTCGGGCCCTCGGATCATGACCGAGTGTCCGACTTTGCAGAGGGGGGCGACACCAAAACGACTGTCAGACTGATGGTGTCACCCAGTGCCGGACGAACCCCCCGCATCCCACTTGTGACGCCACTGGGACTCCAGGTGTGGTGATGTCATTGTACACTCCACATAACATTAAAAGAAGGAAAACATTCACAGCCCCACCAGTGTGCCATACAACCAGGGCCGGCCTTAGGGGTGTGCGAGCCGTGCGGCCGCACAGGGCGCCATGGCAACAAGGGCGCCGTGCGGCCGACACAGCTCGTCCTGGGGGCGGCTTCTCTCCCCCTGCTTTCTCGCACAGGGCGCCTAAAGGCCTAAGGCCGGCCCTGCATACAACGCACACAACCGGAGCTGCCACAACGCACTAACCCGTCCGCTGAAACAAAGCATTTTTTTTTAGCAGACAGGATAATGTGAATGGGCGCTGAAGGTAAAAGTGAAAGAAAATCCCAAATTTTGGGTTATCATAACGGAGAATAGATGGAAAATCTTTGAATGGGGACACTGGTGACACTGGTGTGGAGCACCAGGGATTTCCCTCTCTTTGCAGCGATTTCCTCTCACTTCCTGCTGGGGCTATTAGACAGGAAGTGAAGTGAAATCTCCACAATGAGTGAAGAAAAAAAATGGCTTCAGTTCTAGCATGTATAACATAGACTTTTTCCCCAGTATAAGACTTTTTGTAGTTTAATAGTTAATTTATTATGCCTATACATCAGACCAAACAGAGGGGCAACTGAGAGGCGCAGAGGGGTCTGATTCCGAAAGGAGGACAGACCCTCCAAATAAAGGACAGTTGGGAGCCTGAACATTGTCTAACCCAGAAGTACATTTTATCCTTGTAAGTACGTGACACAATCACACTGCGTCCCCTCATGGAAACCTGTGTGTGTGTGCGCACTGTGTGTGACTAAGCCCTCAGCACTGAACATCCTGGCAGAGCTGGCAGTCACAGGAGGCGGGGTTTACTGGAAGTGTGTAAGTGACGAGCAGCCAATCAGCGCTGGCACATAGCGAGGAGGAGGAGGGAGGGGGGGGGGGGGGTCTTTTTTTTATCTTTGGTTAGGAAGTCACGTGGCGTCGTCCTCCAATCCTTGTACAGGTCTCCGGAGCTCAGTTTACCAGCAGTGACTGGGATGCTCGTACCGGGGTTCAGCCAGTAGCGGGAGGCCGCGGGATGTGTGTGTGGGTACCGGAAAGGAGCCATAGTCCCGGGTGTGGCGTGTGAGCCAGGTTCGGTTATCTTCTGGAGGACATACGAAGGATTGTGCTGTCTGTGGACTCCCTCGGCCGCTCGTCAATAGTAAGTGAAGTGCACATATCGGTGTCCGGTGTCGGCCTGTGGTCGGGGATCACAACCATGTGCCTGTATAGGGGGGCAGTGATGGTGACCGGGCCAATATTGGTGTAGACTGGTCAGTCATTGCTGCCAGCTGGCTTTCTCTTCCCACTCTCCCTGGGCCGGTGATCTGTGTTCTGCACCTCACAGCATTGATGACAGTTCTCCTGACCCTGGCCGCTTGTTTACAGCCAGCTGTACAAAGTAAATTCAATAAGGTTGCCAATAGCAACCACATGTTTAAATTTTCTACCAGAGGAGGGATGTTGCCCATAGCAACCACATGTTTACATTTTCTACCAGAGGGAAGTTACACATGTCAACCACACGTTTACATTTTCAACCAGAGGGATGTTGCCCATAGCAACCACATATTTACATTTTTCTATCTTGTCTTGTATTGCATTGTGATTGTAATGTCTTCCTTATATTGTAAAGTGCTGCGCAAACTGTTGGTGCTATATAAATCCTGTACGATAATAATAATACTAGGGGGATGTTACATATAGCAACCACATGTTTAGATGCTTTACCAGAGGAGGGATGTTGCCCATAGCAACTACATGTTAACATTTTCTGAGAGGAGGGAGAAGTGTCACGGCAAGGTACAGCACAAAATAAATAAATAAATAATACTGTGTATAAATGTATATATAAAACACATTGGGGGATAATTTATCAAAACTGGAGCAGACAGAATCTGGAGCAGTTGCCCACAGTAGCCAATCAACTCCTCTCTCTTAGTTTGTTCAGCAAAGCTATGAAATAAAAGAGAGAAGCTGATTGGTTGCCATGCAGAGCTGCTCCGGTTTTGATAAATTCCCCTCATACGGTAATGTATTGACCTATTATGCTACGATGTAACATTACGGTATTTGGGCTGATGCTCCTGGATACTGCTCTCTGACTTCTGCCTGGATGTTGGTGATGAGATTACTAATTAGGGGCGTGGTTTCACATTTGGGGGGGTGTTTCTGTTCTGTTTTGAGTCTTATGTTTGCGGACTGTGACCCACCGATACTGTGAAAGGAGCCCCCCGGATTCTCTCTGCACTTTCAGATGTCTGGGAGTCCTCCGACCTTCAGCTTTATGTGCTGGATAGACTTTACAGTGATCGTTACCTAGGACGTATTAGTCTAACGTGTCCCCTGGCCAGGGGTGCGGCAAGGACGTGGAGTTTGCCTTAAAGTGATATTAAAGACAATTTTTTTTTCATTTCTCCTTTAAGGAGACCCTCCTTTGCTGGAGGCTGTAGTTTTTTGTTTTTTTAAAGTTCTTCATTCCTCGTTTTCTAGTGGGTCCCCGCCATGCACCTCCCCCTGCACGGGTGCCACCATCGTTCTAATGGAGGCACTCGTCCCCGCAACGGCTGTGTACATCTATAGACACATACAGCCCTGTGGCAGGCCACGCCCCTTGCTCCTTTGATTGATGGCAGAAGGAGCCTACGGCTCCTCTGCCATCAGTATCCTCCCCCTGCAACCCGGAAGTTCGGGGTACGGAGGATCGCTTCGGGACCGGCGGCGTGGACGAAGTGTGGGGGGGACTGGGGTAAAAGGAAAAAAAAAAGGTGCTGGCCTGTTGTTACCCTAATGCAGTGAATGCATTAAGGTAAAAAACGCCCAGACCTTAATTCTACTTCAACCTCTCTGGCAGTAAAAGGTATCCGTCTCCTTCCATTCGCAACGTCACTTATCAAAGTGACACTAAACTACAATAGTTACATCTCAAAAATCCATTCAAGTACCTCTTTAAAAATGTATCTTATTTGTGTGTCACTCGGCTGTAGATCCTCCAATCATCTCTGAATTGGTGCTGACACTGTCCTTCCTTCTGGAGGTGGCTACGTTTGTTCCCCATGGTCCCTGTGTCTTGTAAAGTAGTCACCGCACCAAGCTCCGTGGCATCCTGGCAGTTCACCGCACATACAGGTACAGAGAGTGCCAGTCTCTTCTGCTGCCAGTTTTTCGAAGGGGATACGTCCTTCGTTTTTTAAAGGCAGACTGCTAAAATGTCAGCCGATGCCTGCTAAATTAGTCAAAATGTGAGCCGTGAGTGGCCTTGTCGACTCGACAGACTTCAATTGAGACAAATCAAAGCAACCAGGTGGAAAACTGTCAGCTGAACAGCAACTGCATCCAATCAGATGAATCTCCCTAAAGGTGCCCATACACTGTGCGATTATCGCACGATAATCGTGGGAAATCCCGCGATCGTACGATAATCGCAAAGTGTATGGAAGACGTGCGACCGTTTTGACTGTACGGTCGCACGTCTTTTGTCTAAGGAGCATGTTCGAAAACCAGCCGAGAATCGTACGATTTTTCGGCTGGTTTTTAGCATGATCGTAAGATCAATGCCGCACGGGCCGGTGTGCGCACGCACACTGCCCGTTCAGCATTGCAGTCATCGGAAGCCCGCCCCTCAGGGGGGCCGGGCTTGCGATGATCGCAAGTACGATCTGCCTGTCCAAGATGGGCAGATCGTACGTTTTTTTAAAAATTACTTTACAACCATCGCAATACTAAGGTCTTGCCATGGTTGTAAAGTGTATGGCCACCTTATCAGGACACAGACAGCCATAAAAACCTGACAGCTGTTCTATTCCCTCTGCACTCTATCCAAAACAAAGTCCATAGGTTTGGGCTTCAGTTGTACCTTAAAGGAGAAGTAGTGGGAGGGTAAGAGATACTCTTCCCAATATTTAGGGGTCTATTCACAAAAGGGTGAAGAGTTTGAAGAAGGCAGGAGAAGTGAACAATCTAGGACAACATAGCCGATTTGGCAAAATTCTCCCATACAGCTCACTTTCCAGTTCCGCTATTCTGTCCTAGATTGTTCACTTCTCCTGCCTTCTCCAAACTCTTCACCCTTTTGTGAATAGACCCCCTCATAGTCTGTGTGGGACATTGCACCTGTCATCCTGAGTGACCATGTGACTACCAATCCCTCGGCTCACAGTCTCCTCCCTGCATCGTCATATTAGCCCAATGATGTCACCAGCGTTCCTGCCCCTTTGTTTACATGCTGCTGTGGGTCAGGGAATGCCCCGGCCGCAGCTGATTGGGAGCGCACTGACGCCTAACATTCAGGTTCAGATTAAACTCGAGTTCATCCCTAGTCCCTGGTCCTGATCCCCACGCAGAGCAAAGCAGCCGGTTCACGGCAAAGTAGAACTCAGGAAAAATTCTTAACCCTTGCAGTGGGGCTACCCCCATACTCAATTGGACCAGTCCCTGCCACCTCGCACCACCTCATTCCCCCTCCGCTCCCATGGGCTAAGGTCCTACGAGTCATAACGTCCTATACATTGCATTGGATGTGAGACCGCCGAGGGACATTCCATCGCAGCAGCGGAGGGGCACCAGGGACCGCAAGATTCGGATGAGTATAACTTTATTTTTACTCTTAGACAAAAACGAGCAGTTTTTTTCCCCGCAGTTCCGCTTTAATGCCACCCTCAGCAGAATATACTTACTTCCTTTTTGTTCCCCCACCAGCGAGTAAAGGAAGCCCTTTTTTTTAGGTCCAAGCTGGTCTAGTGGGTGCTCAGATTCTCTCCCTGCCCCCGTGTAATTACACTGAGCACAGGAAGTTGAGTGAGTCACATGCTCCTCCATGCCTTAAAGTACTCTTGATGCCTCTGGATTAGTTTCATATTTGTTCCTATTTGGATGGTACACGGTAACATATGACAGCGTGCACTCTCCTATGAAAGCTGAACTTCCCATTCATTCATAATTGAGGATGTAGTACACATACCATATCCTCAATTATGTACAAACACTCAGCGATCACTGATTGCTGAGTGTTTGCTCTCGCTCTCCTCTCTGACACGCTGTCACAGGAGGCTGATCGAGCGGTGTATGGAGGAGAGATCAGCCTGCTGTGACAGTGCGGCCTTTCTCCGCCCACACACCGCTCTGCCGGACTGTGATAGGAGGCTGAGCGGTGTGGGAGGAGAGACGCCGGCCGCTCACAGCGCTGTCCTCCCGCAGTGCACGGCCGGCTGTCGCACTTTCTCTCCTCCCAGCTGGGACACAGAGCAGCGCCCAGCGAAAGGAGGGATACGCCGATGTATCGGCAGGAAAATGGCACTTTAGGTATTATGCCAAAAGTGCAATTTTCGGCCGATATGTTTCAACGGACAATATATTGGTGCAGCCCTAATTATTAGTTATTTAATTCATAAATATTAACTATTTAATGGACATATCATATTAATTCTTTCTGCATAGCTCTCATCCCGGGCATAGGTCACAGAAAAAAACTTGTGCAGGAAGGAAAACATTACCAAGCGGACTTCTCTACTATACTCCTTCCACCAGACTCTTTTTTTCTGGGGGAATCCGATTCGCTGCACGCTTGAATCTGCGTCCTAACGCAATGATTCATAGGTGGGAGCCAATTGGCTAGAGATGACATTTTCCATCTTGCCACGCTCTGCTCTCGCCTAGCTGAGCACAGGAGAGGATATTGCTGGACAGACTGTACTCAAAGTTCCATTCACCGCCGCTTTCTTTTGCTGCGCGCAGCTCCGTGTGCAGTGTGTCTTCACAGACTTTAGGGCCGGTTCACACCATCGCCAGTGTGTTCCTGCCGCAGAACGCAGGGAGGCTTCCACTATGCGAACCAGTGCGTTCCGGCCACTAACCATGCCGGAACGCACTGTACATGGTGTAAACAGGCCCTAAATGTGTTCGCTGCCCCGCCAACGCCCTGAACTTCTCATCGTGTTGTAACATTACACATGATGATCTTGTTTGTATTTCATGAGAAAAGGGAACAAACTGGGTGAAGTGCTGAATAAGTCATTGTATGTGTTTTATATTTCTCCATACATGGGTGCAGCAAAGATTGATTTGTGTTACTTTCATTTTGTTCCATGTATCAGATTGGTGATTTTATAGTCAATTATGAAGATTAATATCAAGATGTCATGTGACTTTTTTCCCCTC